CGGTGCCCAGGCTGGAGAGAGGCAGAGGGACGCGGGGGGTGGGTGGGTGTGTGCCTTCCATTGGCCAGGCCGGGCTCTTCCGCCTGCCTCCTGCAGGACTAGGAACTTAAGCTGCCTTGGTGGGGGGTGGGGGTGTTATTTGCCCAGCGGGCAGAGGGGCAGCCGAAACCGGCCTGTCCGGAAAGGCTGCTCTGGTGATGGCGCTGCGCATGGCGGCCTGTGTGGTTCCCTGGCCTGGGGTTGCCAGGTGTTGTGGGAAGCACTGCGTGCCAAGAGGAAGCTGGGCACGAGGAACCGCGGGGAATGGCGGTCAGGGGGGCCTGGCTGGTTTCTCTCCCACGGGGTGGAGGGGGGGGCTTCCCCTGCAGGAGCCATCCTGCCTTTCCTTCCTTTTAGTGCCCCCCCCGCAAAAGGTAGACTGCGCCTGTCCAGGGGAGTTCTATTGCCCCGAGAGCCTCTCCAGAGTGAGGGACGTCTTATCTCCTGCCTTGGTCCTTTTTAAGACTTCCAGAGTTCCCCAGCCGGCGATGGCTGGGCATTCTGGGTAGTGGAAGTCTCCGTCTTTCGAAATGGCTACTCCCGCTTTAAAACCCGGAGGAAGGCAGCCTCGGCCTCTGAAGACGCGGGCAGGAGCCGGACTGTCTGGGGCCGAAGTCTGGGATGGGCACAGAGGCTGCTGCCCACAAAAGAGGCCACCGCCACCCTCGTGCCCAGGACAGGAGCGCCCGACGCGGGGGAGGGGGTGGCCTCTACTTCTCCAGCCCCCCCACCCCCAGGGCTCCTCCAGGGAGACCTCTTTCCTTGCCCCCCGCTTCCCCCCAGCAAGCACGGGCAGTGCCCGCCCCCCCTGCTCAGTCCTGCCCTTCCAGTTGCTGACCACGCTGCCCGCCTTCGATGTGGCTGGTGGACGCGGGGGCCCCACAGCTGACACAGTGACAAAAGCTGCCGTAAGTTGCCCCCCCCTACGCCCCCCCCACCCCAGACTGTGCAGACGACCCCTCCGCCCTCCCGTGGCTGCCTTGGGCAATGGCCACAGCCTGCTGGTCGGCTGCCCGAAACCACAGGCTTGAGGGGACAACAGGGCACTCATTCATGACCTGGGCAGGGCAGGGGAGGGCACTGGAGCCAAGAGGCAGCTCTGGGGCTCGGCTGGGACCTGGGGGGAGGCTGGAGGAGCACATGGCGTGTGTGTGTGTGGGGGGGTGAAGTTCTTCCTGCCAGCCACCCTTGGTCCAGCTGTGGGGCAGGTGGCAGGTCGTGATTGGCCGAATGGGCGGCTCTGACCCTCCCTCCTGCCCCCAGGAGCTTGGCAGTGGGGTAGGCGTGTGACCCACAGAAAGGAAGCATGGAGGGGACGGCCGCAGCCTACGCGAAGGGCAGTGAGGAGGGGGAAATGGTCAGTGCCTCTCGCTGTGGGGGTTTCCAGGCGTCGTATTCCGGCCCCCTGGCACCAGCGCTTGAGGCTGGCACTTGTTGCCTCGCCTCTCCCAGCGGCTGGCATCGGTCCCCCTCCCCAGGAGCCACCAAGGGCCCAGGGTCCTCCTGTGCAGGGCCACCAGCATCTGCCTGGGGTGGCTCCTCGTGGCCCCTGGGGGGCTGCCCTCTGCCCCACCCTATTCTATTCCTCTCTATTCTATTCTTTCCTCTCCTATCCCATCCCATTTCTCTCTATTCTATTCTATTCTATTCCTCTATTTTCTATTCTATTCCATTCTGTTCCATTCTATTCTTCTGTTCTATTCTATTCTATTCTTCTATTCTATTCCTCTATTTTCTATTCTATTCTATTCCATTCTATTCCTCTCTATTCTATTCCTCTATTTTCTATCCTATTTTCTATTCTACTCCTTTCAATTCTATCCTGTTTCTATTCTATTTGTTTACAATTAGCCCTTGACTTATTACCACAATCGAGCCCAAGCTTTCTGTTGCTAAGCGAATCCCGCCCCCATTTTACGACCTTCCTAGCCAGTTCAGTGAACCCCTGCAATCGTTCACAGTAAGTAAGAACGGTTCTTAAGTGAATCCAGCTTCCCCATCGACTCTGCTTGCTGGAAGGTCGCAAAAGGGGAATCCCAGGACCGCAACCGTCAGAAATGCGAGTCCGGTGCCAAGCGCCCCTTAAAGACCCCCATCCGGGGACCACAGGGGGGCTGCCAGGGTTGTGGGTCACTTTTCCCCCATGCCAGTTTAACTTTGAACGGCCCCTGTGAGCCGAGGGCTACCCTTCATGCCCTGTTGTGCCCATCCTCTTTTCGGCCCCCCCCCGAAGCCCCCAACCCCCGTGACCGTGGGCTCCCTCTCCTGCAGGCCTCTTCCTGGCCTCCCTGATGCTGCTCTGGCCACTGCCCGCCCTGGACGGGCTATTCCAGGTAGGCCCTTTGCCTGCTCCTCGCCCGCATGGCACAGGGGAGGACGTGAGGTACGTGGCCAGAGGGCTCCGGGCTCCCCGCACCCAGGCTCTCCCATCTGGGCCGCTGCCTCCAAGGAGGGGCGGCAGATAGACGTGGCCGCCTCCCTCCGGTGCCTGCCTGGAGCTGATAACGGCTACGGGGAGGGGAGGGGGCTCGACCCAGCAGCCCCTGTCCCTGGTGCCAGGCGCGCCCCTTCCCCACGAGAGAGGGGGCCCCTTGGGGGGGGCCTCCCAGAAGGAGCTCTGGGATGGGGAGGGGTGGGGGGCATCCCAAGGCTGCCGATTCTGCAGCTCCCTGGGGAGGGCGCCCCCTCGGCCGCAGGACTTGGGGGAGATTACAGGGATGGGGAGCCAAAGTGACACCTACAGGTAGTCCTCAACTTACGACCACAAATTTCGGTTGCTAAGTGAAACATTTTTCAAGTGAGTTTTGTCGCATTTTACAATTTTTGTAAGTGAAAAAGAGAGGAGAGAAGAGAGGGAAAGAGGGCAGAGGACAGAGAGAGGGAGAGAGAGAAGGGGATAGAGAGGAGAAAGAGAGAAGGAGAAAGAGGAGAGAGGGGGAATCACTGCAGTTGTTAAAAGGAGTAACATGGTCATTAAGCGAGCCCAGCTTCTCCCTTGACGTTGCTTGTCAGAAGGTCGTAAAAGGGAATCACGTGACCCCCCCCAGACGCTGCCAACCGTCATAAATGAGTCAGTTGATAAAACATCCAAATTTTGATCGTGTGCGTGACCACGGAGATGCTGCGACGGTCGTAACTCTGAAAAATGCTCATGTCATGAGTTTCTTCAGTGGGATTGTAACTTTGAATAACTAACCGAGTTCACCGTCACTAAGTGAACTCTTTGCAAGTGGAGGAGGACTGCCTGTGTATTTTGGGCGGGAGGGGGGGGGAACCCGAAAGGAGCAGGATCCAGCCCCTCCCTGCCTGAGTCGCTCTCCCAGGCAGGAGCCCAAGAGGGCACAAGCCTCACCGGGGAAGCTCTCCGCCTGCGTCCCTTATGAGTGGCGCCTGGCCCTGGCATTCAGCAGCCTGGTGCTGTCCCTCTGCCTGGAGGTAAGCCCCCCACCCCCCCACCCCACTCCCCTCGCTTGAGTGGGGAAGGGAGAGCCCACCTGCCCCCTACCAGTCTCTCCCCTGGGCCCCCAGAGCTTCGTGTGTGACTGCAACGCCCCTTGGCAGGGGCTCTGCTGTGGCAGGCCGAAGGAGGACCCTCCCAGGCAGGCAGCTTTCCCACAGGTGGAGCCCTTCCGGGGGGGGGGGGGGACGACGACGACGACAACGAGGGGACCTGCCACTTGGGAATCCGGCTGCTGAGCTGCAAGATGACCAAAATAAGGCACCCCCCTCCCATGGGCCTGGAATATGCGGAGGGGGGGGTGAAGAGGAGGGAGTTTCCCCCTCCCAATCTGGCTGAAGCACGCCCCCCCCCCACGCTTTGCAGCCAGAGAGACCCTGTGGGTGGAAGGGGGGGGCAGACCAAGGGCTGACTGAAGGGATCCTGATTGGATTGTAGCAGCCCACAACGTTTGTGGAGTTGCACAACCCCCTGGGTTTTTTAGGGGGGGGCTAGGAAAGGGAGGGGCCCTGGGGCTCCCAAGTGACCCTCTGCAGGCCGGGGGGGGGAACGAGGGGCTCAGAGGCTGTGGCTCCCGCAGCCTGGCATCCGTCAAGGGCCCCCGAGTGCCAGGACTCCTGCCCCCTTGTGCCCTTCCTGAAGCCCAGCCAGGCTCTCTCAGGCTGGCCACCTCTTCTCTGCCCCACAGCTGGAGCTGGGGGAGACGGCCTCTGTGTGTTCGCCCCCCCCCCCCTGGCAGAGTACCAGCGCCTGGCTCAGGAGCTCCTCTTTGACCCGGAGTGGCCTCTGCAGCCGAAGACCAGCACGCAGGCAAGGGGGGGGGACTCCCGCCGAGACCCTCGCCTGACTGGGCCCTTCTGGTTGGCACAGAGTGGAGACCCCTCTCCCCCACCCAAGCAGGATGCCTCCCCAGCCAAGACTCGAAGGGGCCTCCAGGAGCCGCCATGGCCCTCTGTCTCCCTTCCCAGAATCCCCCTCCCCAGGGGTGGGAGACAGAGGAGATGGGGCGGGGGGGGGGTCTGTCCTCTTTGGCTGAATCCATTGGATCCGAAAGTAGCTGGTGGAACTTGGGGAGATCCCCTGCTCCCCCCACCTCTTCCCAGGAGACCCTTTCCCCTCCCTGTGCCACCCCCTCCCCTTTTTCAGGACCGGGGCCCTCCAGCCCCATCCAGACGGCCTGCGATGACCTTAAAAGGCTCTTGCTCTGTGCTGCTCTCCCAGTCTTTTTTTGGGGGGGGGCGAGGGGGCGATCCAAGGGGCGGGGGGGGAGTGGACAGAGTCCTGGGGGGGTCTTTGGGGGGGGGGAAGAGTTGCAGCCCCTTCCCTTGCTTCTCGGGGGCGCCTGGCGGGGGTCTGGGGGTGGGAGGGGGCGCCGGGAGGGGCTGGGTGCAGCGGGGGGGGGGGGAGGCGGTGCCCCCCGGGGGCGGGGGGAGCGCTGCGCCTGCGCGGGGGGACTCGGCCAGAGGCGCCACGACAGCCGCGCAGCCCCCGCTTCCCCCTCGCCATGTCCGGCGTGCAGCGCATGAAGGTGGCCAACGAGCGGCACAGCAAGAGCATCACGCAGCGCGGCGGCCCCCACCGAGCCCCGGTACGGGGAGGGGGGGGCTGGCAGGGGGAGGGGAGGGAGCAGAGGGGGCAGCTTCTAACCCCCCCCCGCCGTCTCCCCAGACCCCGCAGGAGGAGAAGGCGCCGGTGGGGCCGTGGCTGCTGGCCCTCTTCGTCTTCGTGGTCTGCGGGTCAGGTAGGCGGCGCACCCCCCTTCCTCCCCGCGGGACCCCTCGAGGTCATCCAGGCGGGCCCCGCCTTCCCTGCGGGCGCCTCGGGCTCTCTGCACGCGCCCAGGAGCCCGTCCGCCCCCCCTCCTCCTTGCGACTCCGGGGAGGGGATGGGGGGGGCAAGGGGGAGGGTCTTGCTGGGCTGGCCCTGACGCCCCCTCCCCTCCTGCCGCTTCTCCCTGCCAGCCATCTTCCAGATGATCCAGAGCATCCGGCTGGGCGGCTGATGGAGCGGCGGTCCCGGCACCGGCAGACCTCAAGGGACTCTTGGACGGAATGTGGGGGGGGGGGGTCGCGTTTTCCGGACCCTCCCCCCCTTTGGAAAAGTTTACAGCCATGAGCGTCGTCTTCCTTTGCTTGCTTGACCCCCAAGCGACTCCCGCCTTGGACCCGCCGCCCCCCGGGGTCTCCCGGGGGTCTCCCGGGGTCTCGAACTGAAGGACGGGGTGACAACCCCCCCCCGTCCAACGGGGGTACGCCTGGCCTGGGGGGGGGGGCTTCCTGAGGAATTGAAGCGGTTCCCGACGAGGAGAGAGCAAGGGGGCATTTGGGGGGGCCTCTGCAGCCGGGGGTGGGTGGGGAGGGGGCGCCTGCTCTGGAAGCTGCTGCTTTTGGCTCCGTCTGTTAAGCCCACCGGTCCTTTTTTCCCTCGCCTTCTCCCGTCGAGCTGCTGAATAAAAAAGTCTTACCATCTTGGGCGGTTTGCCACAAGCTGAATTCGTGTCATTTTGTAAGAAAGGGCTCTTTAAGCCCCCCTCCCCAAAAAGCCCAGCATTTCCTGCTCTCCGCAAGGGGGCTTCCAGAAGAGACTGTCCAGGATCCCTTAATGCCCCCCTGGTTCCTGCCCTCAAACCAGAGCTCAAGGGTCTTTTGGGTCACCAACATGGGAAGCCCATAAAGACCCCCCCCCCATCACCAATAGCTGCCTCCACTTCTAGCTCCTCAGCGAGAGGAGAAGAGAGCTTAAAGAGGGAGGGGGCTTCTGCTGAGCCACACAAACCCCCTTTCAGTCCAGGAATTTGCAAGCCCCTCAGAACAACAGCTGGAAACTCTTAAGATGCTCTTGGCTCCAACCTTGGAAGTCCACCAGTCTTAAAGAATTTGCAAGCCCCTCAGAACAACAGCTGGAAACTCTTAAGATGCTCTTGGCTCCAACCTTGGAAGTCCACCAGTCTTAAAGCAGCCAAGCTTGGAGACCCTTGCTATAAGGAATAAGGCAGTGTTTCTCAACCTTGGCAACTTGAAGATGTCCGGGACTTCAACTCCCAGAATTCCCCAGCCAGCATTCGCTGGCTGGGGAATTCTGGGAGT